GGGCAGTCTGTGTTTATGGCCTTTTAATGAATGAATTATTACTCATACGACATGGCAGCCCCTTGGCTTTTTGCGCACAGAGCCAACGGAAAAGCAGAATTATTGTCTAAACAAAAACATCAAAAAATAAATACGAGATGCCAGTTTGCTCAGAGGGTTTACGACCAGGTCCGTTGCCCCACACGTGCCTATTACGGGGGATGAACTTGTGTGGCCGGAGCCAATTAAACGGTGATTTAGAATTCCAGAAAAACATCTCACGTTTATTTACTGTGGCAACTTTGCTCACGGTCAGCCGCATTTCGTCAGATCCTTGAAAACAAAGCGACAGCCGCAGATTCAATTTGTGATTCTATTTGGAAACATTTTTCAGATTTGATTTCATTTGTTTTGGAAAAACTGTTGGATAACCAAAAGGTGTTTACTTTGATATAAGTAGGAGTAACTTTTTAGCTTATTTCATTAGCTTGCATAAACTGAACCTTACAAGACTTAAAAAAATTGAGTTAATTCTTTGACCGTATATGTTTTACAAAGTTTCTTTCTTTATTCATTAAGATTCTGATTGACTTATGGTAATCATTGATTTCTAGGCCTTCGTTTACTCCCAAGAAAACCTAAAATATGTTTATTTAGTGTATATTAAATAGATATTTTCAAATGCTAATTTTTTGAGTAAAGTGAAGTTTTTCAAATGTTATAACTAAGCCAAAAATGCATTAATTTCAAATCGGAATGCATTTCTCTGCTAGTTTTTGTTAGGGTAATAAATCTGCATACTAAGATTTCCAATTTTAAAAATTTTACATTTTCCCAAATTTTGACAATTTTAATGATGTAACCCCTTATAAAATTTTGAAATTTCGAAAAATTAAAAAAAAACCTATTTTTCGACCGGACATGCCTAGATCGATTTGGCTTTTGATTCTGATCAAGAATATATATGGTTTATAGGGTCGGAAATTACTCCCGGACTCAAACTATATCTTTTAAAAATCTTAACTAGGTTCTTTTAATAAATTCCCCTATAATTTATTAATTCTAGTGTATAATGGATAATTGTTTTGTTTAAGTTCAGAACACAGAGGAGTCACATGCTATTATTTTGTTATCCAATACGACACAGAGGAACACACCACGTGACTTGGCCCCCAAGGGGGTCGCCCCCCCCATTCAATCCTGCCCTGGAGTCCACCACCTACTCCCCTCTAGCGGCGACACCTGCATGTGACATGTCCCGCATTTAGCTGCCGGGGTTATTATTTACTCGATTCGATTCCGATTGTCACCATTGTCGGGCAGAGATAGTGCCGTTCTGTTGTTAATTTCGCGCCTCAACAAGTATAATTTGTTGTCTTTGCGCCAACACCCGCTCAAAGGAAGGGGCAAAGCTTTGTTTTGCACTCCAGTCACGCTCATTTGGACGAACATGCATTCAATTTGTCGCTATCGGAATGTTAGAATTGCTACCTTTACATTTTACCTACAAGTGGGATTAGCAAGGCTTTGAACAGGTTCTTAAAGAATGGACAAGGAATGGGAGCTTCCTCAGACATTTTAAAGATTTTTAGGACATCCTGTAACAGACTCTTGGACTCTTAAGTCAAACGAATTGAAATATATATGTTTCAAGTTGCACATAAATGTATTTTTAAAATACCTTCAACTTCCTAGCCTAGCATATCCCTAAAATTCCATAAATAATAATTAAAAGAGATATAAACCTGATACAAAAAGCCACTTTAAACTTAAGTCGTATCCATTTAACCTGCCGCGTGTCTTGAAGCTTCAACTTTTGATTGCTTCTCAATAAATTGTTTGCAAAAGTCTGGAAAAACAAAACTTGACATTTTGACGGACCGGCCAAATTAGGGCTCAATTTAACTGCCAGTATAAAGTCCATACCACTTATTACGACGAACCCCTCACTGAACAGCTCGGTCTGAAATTTTCGATAAATTTTAAATGAATTTCGCGTTTACTTCGTCAATATTTGACAGCCTGATAGAGCGATGTAACAACAGCTGTGGGACTGTGACCTATCCGACGACGAAACGATGAAGATGGACCTTCGAAAAATAAACACAATTTCGATTTCAACTTATTAAATTAACGCTCTTGACCTTTGCTCCCTATAGCTATCTGCTCCTTTCAGAACTCACATGCAATGACCAGGTACTTGCAGGACACATGTCATTCGGGATGCAGAATTCTTTAATTAATTTATGAATCCGAGGAAAAATAATTACTGTACTGGTTAATATGCTATATTATTCCTTTAAATATAGTTTATAAGGTATTCAGCAAAGTGTCTTTAAGTTTGTGTCTTGCAATCTCAATTTAATTGGAATTATAATTACTTTCTGACCAAAACTAATTGGTGTCTGTCTTATTGCATTAAACACACTTGCTACCTGTTGCGAGCCTCTGCAATTTCCACTTGAACTTCAAGGCACTTTCCGTTAATTGCCAAGTGCGAACTGTCATGTGATTTAATTGATATTCAACACCCTTTAATTGCGATCAGGCGAGAATTCAGGGACGAACCGGGCAGTTGCGTTTAATCGAATTCCCCGAAGTTCCAATCAATCTGACGCTGAAAAATTCTTGTTAAATTTCCGCCCGCACATCCTGCAGTTTTTCCTGGAAATTCCATTAAAACGACGCCTGGCAAAACCATTTATAATTATCGAGAGAGAGAGAGCAGCTGGCCCTGGGGCTAACTTGGCCGCTGGCTGGCAGCTAGGATTTTCCTTAACCCAGAGAACCTTCTAACCCATCTCGCATTTCGCTGTTATTTTAACGTTTTGCGCAGTGTGGCCCGTACCCAGGTGACTTCGACTTTTGCCTTGAATTTGAATTTGAAATTCAAAACCTCAAAAGCCAACGCGCTGCGTCCCAATAATATGATATGCAGCCGCAACGTCATTCGGAAAACTCCCAACCGAAAGCGACGTTTCACCGCAGGTCTCTAGGTGGCTCAGCTGGGATTTCCAAGTGGGCAGATACGATAGGATACTACACGATGGCTGGTGGTGGCCCAACAAAAGGTAAAAGTTGGCCAGAGAGTTGGCAATTGGGGCTTAATGGTTAGTCCCGCCCAAAAGGCACTCCGAAGCCCACCGTTCCCAACCCGGCAGGGGGGGACCTGTGCACTGCTCATTGCTATGCAAATTGCTGTATTTTTCTTTAATTTTATTTTCAAGCACGAGTTTGCACAAAACCTCCCCCAGCCCCCTTGCCATTCCACACCATTCCAAACCTTTCCCAATGGTGGCCTCGCCCTTGCGTTGACTAAGTAATGCTATTATGTGTGCTTGACCATACGGGTATTTCCAGGGGTCTGCTTTGCATGCGGATCTACTGGGAACTGGCATCGGGAACAGGGATCGGGGATGTAGATTTTGGGATAGGGAAAAGAGGGTATAGGGTAGGAGCAGGCTGGAGCCACAAGCAAAAGCCCGGGCAGGTAATTGAGGCGCTTAGCAGGAGCCGTGAAATCAGACTGGCAAACTGGACCTCTTGTGCGGATTATTAGCCTGAGCTGTGGCATCAATCAGCTGGGACGAGTGCTGGACACCGGATACAGCTCCGGAATGCGGCAGTGTGGACTGTAATCGTCGGCTTACAAGCTCATCCAACCAAATTGTCTGATTTTGTGCTTTGCCCACATCCCAATGCGATTCGTTAACCCATTGTTTAGCTCTCCAAAGGATCCTAATAAATGCCATATGTGAAAGTTGTAAAAGTTAGAAAATTGCACTGACCCAAGTGGCTGTAATTGGTGGTTTTTGTCATTGTACTTATTGAATCATAAGCTTTTATTTACCTCAAAATCCAAATAATCCGATAACTACTGGGCATTAAATTAATTAAAGTCTCCTTATCTTGGTTATAAATCATACGAAACCATAAATCGAAAGAGATCTGATAGCATTGGAAGAGCACTTGTTGGACAAAGTGTTGGCCCAGCAACAAATGCAGACCACAGCCAGCCAACCAGGCTGACCACACACAGTCCAAGTTTGCCCTTCCGGCTGGGCCTACGCCCGGATGGCTTTGACCATGGCACGTCTGGTGGCCACAGTGTGGGCCAAGTTGTGTCTGCTGTCCCGAATGGGTCTCCTCCATCGCCACTCACTTGATAGTTTTGCAAAATCAATAGCCCCTTCGCGCGGGGATTAGAGGCCCGTCCGTCGGTTAACAATGAGCAGCGGCGACGTGGTCGTTGCCATTGAAATCAAACGGCGGAAGTGGTTCAGGCATTGGCAATACAACGAAAATTAGCATTGAATGCCAGGGCAACCGAGCAGTAGGGGAAAGAGACCTAGTTCTGGGCTCGGCGGTTTAATAGCTGTCATATGGAGGAAATGAGGTCTTGGCACACACGCACACCCACAGCACAGCAGTGTGCCATTTGCCATTCCTGTGTGTTTGTGTGTGTGTGTGGCGGATATAATTTAGCGTTCAATCGAATCGGAAATGGAGGTGGAAGCACCTATACACACACACACACATGGAAAGTTACTCGGAATCCTTTTTTGCTGGCAATTTGCGGGCAATTTTTCAAATTAGTCAGCGATGACGCATGTCTTTTAATGATTTTAATTACTGTTTGATGGTGGCACGGAAAATTGGTATTGCAAATATGCAATTACAGTACAACACATAGTTCAGAGTGTAGTTACATCCCTGAGAAGGAGGAGTCTGCGGCCCAATCTCTGTAATGGCTCCGCCGCACGACCCAAAACGTGGCAATTTGCACATTTCCATTTCCCAGCTCCAAGGCGCTCCCAACTTTTTGGCGTGCGCACGCAACACAGAGCCCACCGTCAAGAAGTCGGACGGAGCTACTCGGTGGAGCTACTCCCATGGCATCAGATCCACCCTGATGAGTTTCAAACTGCGAGTTACGAGGGCGATGATGGGAGCCCCGCCACACGTAACCCAGTTAAGAATTTCCCTCGGCAAAGTCGCCTTAATTCAATTTGCAGTTTGCGTTCGCATAATAAACTCGAGTGCAGGCGAATGCAAATGCCGCTTGCTGGCTGGATTTAATGAGCTTCAAACTTAATTGTTATGGCAAGGCGGCATGGCATCCTCCCATCCATCCTTCGATCCTACTTGCTGCACATGGTGTGACCCTCGCCCAGGCAGGACGCGTAGGCCATCAGGTGGGGAATGGTGCTCTGCTCGTAGACCCCGGTGAAGAGGTGCGACCAGGGACCCAGAGCGTAAACAGGCACATCGTCGCCACCATGGGAATCATTGTCGATTGGCACTCCAGAGGGGAACTCATCATCATGGGCTCCGGTTATCACTGTTGTGGGATCCTTGCGCTCCTTGGTCTCCGTGTCGTAGAAGTTCTCGTAGCTGGGGCCATTGGCATAGCTCAAGACCATGTATGGCTTGCCATCTAGTCCCGTCACTGGAGCCTTCCCAAAGACATCCTCGCCGCGGTACTAAACAATTGGAAATGGAAACATTAAACAATTGAATTGAATCTGAAGAACTACCCTTTCCATGCCAAACCATTCGTTAAAAGAAATATTAGGGTATTCAAAGTGGGTCTTACCGCATATCCTGCATAGGTGAACACATGCGAGTGATCAGCGGTGACCACAAGTAGAGTATCATCCTCGCTGGTGAGCTCCTGGGCAGCGGCAATAGCCTTGGAGAACTCCACGGTCTCGTTGAGGGCCATTCGCGCCTGATTGATATGATGAGCCTGGTCAATGCGTCCTCCCTCGATGAAGAGGAAGTAGCCCTGCTCGCTCTGTTTCATGTACTCAATAGCCTTGCGGGTCATCTGCTCCAGAGTAGGCTGACTACTCTCCGGTGTGGTCTCCATCATATACTGCATGTGGTCGTCATTGAACAGACCCATCAGGCGATCAGTTGTTGTCACATCCACGGCCTCCAACTCCGCGGCGGTGGTCACATAGACGTTCTTATTGCTGGCCGCCTTGAACTCGTCAATAAGATTCAGGCCGTCGTTTCGCTTGCCCCAGGACTCCAAACTGGAGTCAACAAAGTGCTTGCGTCCACCGCCCATGATCACACGGAGTTTGCTGCCCACCTCGCCCCGGGACAGCTGATAGGCAATATCCTGAATTCCGGAGTTGGCTCCACAGTCGGTAGCCACCTCTGCATCGTTCTCCCAGTCACGTTCCGCGATGTGGGCGTAGACGCCGGAGGGTGAGGCGTGTGTCACACGGGTGGTGGTCACCAGACCCGCCCACTTGCCCTCCTCCATGGCCCACTTGGCAATGGAGTCCACGTGGGTGGTCTCGTCCAGCATGACCTTGCAATCGGTGCGGGGCACCTGACCATTCACACCAATGGTGCCCTCCTGACCCTTTACGCCGCACAAATAGGCCGTGGCTGTGCACGCCGAGTCCGGAACGATCTTATCCACGGAGTAGGTCTTCGAGAGGCCCGTGTAGGGGAAGTTCTCGAAAGAGAGTGATTTCTCCTCGCCGCCCAGAAGATTGCGAGCCGGAGCAGTGGTGGTCACGCCCATACCGTCGCCCAGGAAAAGGATCACGTTCTTGGCCTGTCGCTGGTTCAACTGGGCTGCCAATTTCTGCTGGACGAACTGCACGCCTTTTTCACGCCAATAGGCGGTGGTGTCCTCGCCCTCGACGGCCCTCATCTTCCTCACTTCCGGCTGCGGCTCCGGTAGATCCGGATGCATTGCCTGCTCCCGACACTGCTCCGGATTGCGGCCACACTCCGGGGCCGACCAAGTGGGCAAGGCCAGCAGAGCGATGGCGATCAGAATTGCGTTCAGCCTGCGGGACATCTTGCTAAAGACTGACCCTGGTCGACGGTTACTCCGACTTTGGCCTATCGGAGATTCGATTCCGGCCGATTGCGATAAGGGGCGATAAGGCGGAGACGTGTAGATCCCATAAACGGCAAATCGCATCAAATCTAATGCGCCACCTAATTCCCCTTAGTCCGGGGCGTGCTTTTATTTACGATGGCCAGCGACAAGTTTTATAGATTTATTGTGCGGGAATAAACAGTGGGGTGAGGCACGTGAGTGGCGGTGGAACTTGTTGCCCAGCCTGTTGGTCATCTGTTCCGGGGCTCTAAGGAAAGCACCGGCCCTGGCCATCACGTAATCAGGCTGGAAAATCTGGCTGAGGCACGTGAATGATTTGATGGGTAGTATAACCAGTTATGGGGATTGTAAGGCGTCGCATTTTCCCCTTTCGCATTTATTTCGGGGCCATAAAAGCCAGGTCATAAACAGGTGACTGTTTTCGCCGAGCGCCTTTGCCTTTTTAATATCCAGCTGAGAAATGCAAAGGCATTGGAGTGGAAGAAAAGCAGCTGCCAACCGGCGGAAAGGTTAAAGGTTGAGCTAGCCTATCGTGGGGCGGGAGTGTCGACCTTGGTTTGCACTTGGCCGAGAGCAAATTAGCCAAAGCAAAGGCGAACGAATGAGAGACGGCTAAAACGGCAGGCGGAATTGCAACTGTTGAGTATGAATATCTTTGTTTGTCCACTAGAACTTATCGCTATCGCTCGAATGTTTGGCCATTTCAGATCGAAGGCAAACAAAGTGTCGACTTTATGGCTAAAAATAATAAATTCCTTGAAGCGATTATAATTAGACTCACTCACCGCACATGAATGATGCGAATATTTGTGTTCAAGCAAACTTTTGGGTCCACTGGGCGGATACGTAATATATGTATTTGCACATCCCTCTCAAGGGGCAAGATGCGCGAGGGTGTGGTAATGTCGCAGCCGAAAGCTGCGCACTTAATGCTGCCTAATAAATTCGAATCTCCGTTTCGAGTGTGTCAAGATTGTGGCCATTATAGCCGTGGCAAGAGCATTAATCACGAACGACTCAAGGCTCTTGGTTTGTGTGCACTCGATTACGCACTTCACACCTCCTGTCTCTCACACAATTCTCTAACGCTTTGTGCTCTTGATTTCTTGCAGGAAAACCATCGACATCTACATTATGGAGCAGAGCAGCTATGAGAAGGATGTCAGCTTCAGGGTCTACATTGGAACACCCGAGTTGGCGCCAGGTGAGTCACAGAACCAGAGAGGGAATAGAATCGAAACCAGAACCCAAAACCCAAAACCAAACCCAAAACCAGAACCAAAACTCCAACCAAACCAAAGTCCCACCCCCAGTCCAAAGAACCTCCTCTAACCCACTGACAATGCTAACCAAATTGAGCGAAGCAGCCCAGAGAAAATGCCCAGGTAGCTGTGCACCAAAAATGACACAAGTTCCTATCTGTCCTGGTCAGGAACTGAGCCTGCGACACCCGGGATACACCGACACAGCACTCTCCACTCCACGACCTCGACCTCGACCCTTTCTCCACCACCCACCATCCCTAAACCTTGTTTCCAAGCAACCCTTTTTCGAGACTTTTTCCCGCTTTTGAACCCCTCCAAAAATATATTACAAACAGGTGGAAGAGCCCGGCTCGGCCGAACAGAGAAAAACAGAAAACAGAAAAAAGAGCAAAAACCGAAAACATAAAACTTTGTAAATTGGAAATTCCAATTTGATGTGAAAGAAATTGTTAATTTGGCTTCGTATGTCTTTTCGCATCCCTTCGACTCATGGGTTCTTTTTATACTTTTTGGTCTTTTAATTTGTGTTCTTTATGCTTCTAGATTCCACTCACTACCGTAAGCCTTGAATTGTGCATTAATTAATTTTATTTTAATTGAACACGAAAGCGTAGAACGTGAAACGCGTTACGTGAAACGGAAAAAGAATGTGAAAAAGTAAAGTTCCAATTGCGATTGGCCAACACTTTCGGGTTTCGGTTTCTCGAGCTGAAATATGGTTGCCAAGTGCAACTTTTAGTTTCAGCTCCTTTTTTCTTCTTTTCTTCACCGAGTGCGGAAATTGCGGGCAAAAAAGTGCAAATTCATTTGATTCTCTCCTCTTAAAGCCATTCCACGAAGTATAAATAGTAGAGTACATATTTTGTTTTGGTGTTGTGTACGTACCCTATAGACCCTCCTCCTTCCCTTTTTATGTTTCTAGTTTAATTTCCGTTTCCTCCTCCGTATCAGTTATTTATCGATAAAGTGGCGATGGGCAGAAGAGTCTTATATTTATGTTTTGTATCAATCGAAGTTAGCCAGTAGTACTCCTCACACGCATCTCTGTGCCCCACATAGAGTTCCCGATATCAATCCTGCACCACCTCATCCCATAGCACCCCAAGTACTGTAACCATTTCGCCTGTAAACTAGACTTAACCATTGTTCACACTTGTCTCTCTAACCCAATCGAACCAATCGCCTCCGTAAATGCCACCAAATGTCACACGATCAATCCTCACGCAGATGACACTAACAAGGAATCATTTTTCAATCGATTTTTTGGTACGTAAAACTGTTTTCCTTTTCTTTTTTTTTGCCATATCCCTCTGCATATTGCGGAACCGATCGATCATTTCAAGTGTTCAGTTAATAGTGAATATGCAGCGAAAGTCAGGTTGAAAAGTGATGAAGAGAGAGAGAGTTCATGTTCATAGCTCTTTTATTGTTTTCGTTCGATTGGTCATTAACCCACACGTCGTATACATAATCTCCGTTATATGTGCGTCTTTAGTGTCTTATCTGTGTGTGTATATGTGTAGGCGTTGCATCTGCATCTGCATTTATATCGAAACAATTGCGCTTTTTTCGACGCAGCAACCACGCACTTGACAAAATGCAAGCTTCTGGCTTTTGTGTAAAGTAAAAAAACAAAAAAATCAAGCAATTAGCAAACGCAAACCCCAGAGCACGCGGGCAAAATCGGGCTTCGTTCGTCTTCAATTGAAATAAAGTTAGAGCAGGGACACAGTTTTTGGTAATATTTTGGTTATCTCTATGCTCGGCGGACATTTGTAATACGCGCTTGTGCCCGATCCGATCCTCTCACATGTTGTGTGCCTGATTGCCCCGATTGCTGCTCGAATTTGATCTCGATATCGATACCGCACCGATTGCTATCGGTGCCACACACCAATCAAACATGCCTCTGCATCGCCAAATCGATTTGTAAGTAATACACGTAATCGTAATCGCTGATTTGTTGTGATCAGAAACCGATAACCCGATATCCGGCTTTTGTTCTACGTAATTTGTGTTCCTCCATTTTGGCTGTTTCTGTTGAACGTGTATTATCTGTGTGTTTTAGACTTAAGGCAACACTACTGTAAGCACTTGATTAAGTATACATGCATACCTAACGATCGTGACCGGCTGACTGATTAAGCCCAAATGCTTGTTTCGATGTATTGTGCGTTACCTAACCGGCGGCTTTAGTGGCTGTTTAGTAGCGATTAACGATTAAAAACGACCAAATGTAATGTCCCCAACTAAAGTCGAAAGTAGCAAGACATGTCACCACATCGCATATTCGTTAACTGAATATTTAGAAAGTGATTGTTGAAGCCATATCCAACATGTTTTGAGACCATTTAACAAGAATTCTCTGAACTCTACCCCCAAAAATCACCCCTCAACGTTCTTGTGTCATGTCGATGTCTATAGAAAAACACGAACACTCTGGAGATCCCACTCGTGAGTCATCAATATCTGGGGACCTAATGTTATACCGTGACCTTTATGCATGTCTTATGTCCTTTGCCTTTGCCTTAGCCTCTGTCTCTGGTTTTGTCTCCAGTCTGCTTAATATGCAGTTTATCAATTTCCATTTTCCACTCAATTGCATCCTGATGTCAACTTAGCATAAGCACTTTGCAAGCTCATTGAAGTCGCTGGCCCGAGACCCGAAAATGCTTTAAATAGCAACAAAATGTGGCTTTAATATGTGCGCTTCAATGGGCTTTGATTTATTTTCCCACACCTTCCCCTCTTCGGTTGGCCTTCCCTTTTCCCTCTTCAATTGAAGCCCGCATCCTATTACAACCATATGCTTTTAATTAGTTTTCCAGCTAATTGCGGGCGTGTGTTTTGCTTCAGTTTTATTCCGAGTATTTCTTTCACCGAGAAACTATCCGCTTTCATCTCTGTCCCTGCGAAACACCTTACTCAACTATGTTTCTATATCTATTATGTGTCTGTGCAATCACCACTTCGTTTGTATGCCAACACACACAATCACACACTATGTCTGTCTAGTAACTCTCGTACCACGTTAGTCTTAAGATAATCTGTTTGGGGGAGTGGCTGCATGCAACACAGTGTTTGCTCAATCGAATCGGAGGACTAATATTCTTGATTCTCACCTGGCCAGACGACGACATGGCAGCCCAAATCAAGGCGGTGGAGAAGAAAAACGCAAACGATCTGACCGAATTGGATAGGATTCTGTTGATGAGCAAGCCGAGGAACGGGGAGCTGACTTCCGCAACCGTGCGCATCCGTGAGAGCCAGGAATTTAAGGTAAGTCCCTTTGACACTGATACATCGTTCTCCACAATGCAAATGAAAAGCAATCCAATTCACTTGTCGGTCAACTGACGACTATGACAACAACACTAGTCCCAAGCCCAATCCCTGCGCCCATTTACATGCAGACATCACGGATAAGTGAGTGCGTGCGCCGGACTGGCACGCCCGTAAGCGTAATGAATCCCCGGAGTGGCGGGCGGAGCTGTCCAGTGACCAGATCGAGTAACCGTTAACCGCCCAGGTGCAGGGCAAATAAGCACCTAATTGTGTGCAAATCTCTAAATGACACGTTGAGTGCCCTGTTTGCCTTGTGTCTGTGCCTGTGTGTGTGTTTAATGGACTTGTGTCCTTTGTTGCTCGGTGGCGTATACTTAATGTGAGCACAGAAAAAGTTGTCCGTCAATCTGAAGGGTGCCCAGTAACGCACCCACGAAAAACTTTGGTTCATCCACCTGAAGTTTAATATACTTTGTCATCGATACTATATTAATTTTCTTGATTGACCGATTGATTGATTATCTTCGTATTATTGTAAATATTAACAAACATTATTAGGTATACAACAGTGTACAATTTCACCACTGAAACTATCAAATTTTAAACTGCAAATAACAAAACTCTATCCGCAGGCTACAGTCGACAAACTGGTGGCCAAAGCGAACGTCTCCTCTGTGCTCGGCACATCTTCCTGGAAGGAGCAGTTCAAAGATGCCCTCACCGTCATTCCAGGTAGACCCGACATTTGATTTTCCTTTTTCCAAGTATCTCTTTTCATGCAAACAAACCTTTGCAGCCGACGAAAGTGAGTACGACCGTGACGATTACGAGGATGAGGTGCCCACCTGCTTCAACTACATTAGCCACTTCTTCTGCCTGTTTTGGAAGGTATTATTTGCATTTGTGCCGCCCACAGGTAAGCATCCCTCACCGACTTCTCCGGTAACAGAAAACCCACTCACCAGCCACTGTCTCGTCCACAGACATTTGCGGCGGCTATGTGACCTTTGTGGTGTCGATAGTCGTCATTGGGGTCATCACCGCCGTCATTGGGGACGCCGCCTCATACTTTGGCTGCACCCTCAATATCAAGGACTCGGTGACCGCCATCCTGTTCGTTGCCCTGGGCACCAGCATACCAGGTAAGTTATCCGGAACCAGGCCCCACTCGCACCTGGCACCTGGCACTCAATTCCCTCTCGACTTGCAGACACATTTGCCAGCATGATAGCGGCCAAGCACGACGAGGGAGCAGATAACTGCATCGGAAACGTCACTGGCAGCAATGCAGTCAACGTATTCCTGGGCATCGGCCTGGCCTGGACCATCGCGGCTGTGTACCACAGCTCCCATGGCATGACCTTTAACGTTGAGCCTGGAACGTGAGTAATCCCTATCCAATTATGGGGAAACTCCCTGCTCCCTGCCGAACTAGTGAAACCAATGGCATTTCATTTATTGAAAAGCTAAAAACTAATGCAATACAATTTCCTTACAGAATTGGCTTTGCTGTGGCGCTATTCTGCGGCGAGGCTCTGATTGCCGTTTTCCTCATCATGGTTCGGCGCTGTCACAAGGGCATTGGCGCCGAACTGGGCGGTCCAAAGGTCTCAAAGTACATCAGCGCAGCGATCCTTGTATTCCTTTGGGTCTTCTACGTGGTCATCTGCATATTGGAGGCCTACGACATCATCCGCGTCTAAGGAGCTCACACAGTCACATTGCTCTGGCCGCATTTGGGGCGAGCACCGTTCGCATTGTTCGCATTGGCGTTGGAAAGAGTTTGAGAATAAATTTATATATATCTTATGTAAAATTTTAAAAGTAAAATTGTATTGTTAAATAGGTTTAAGTCAGGCTTACATATATAAACAAAACAAATTTTTACGATTACTCAATCTATTGATATATGAATTGTAAATACAGAAAGGCTGCCACGGCTCAGCAATCTTGTAATTGTAACGAGATCATTTACTGTTATGCCACATATACTTAATTTACGATTAAATTACGGTTATATTTATTATATCATTCTGTGTACAACTTAAGTCATTGTTGTTGTTTGTTAAAGCTGTACTTAATCCAATTAATCGAAACCCAAACCAAACAAAAAGGGGCCGGCTACCCGGGTTCCGAGCCCCGAATAGTCCCAATTCCATATTTGTCTCTCCATCTGCCGAAAACCATTGTTAATTTAATACATGTGTAAGTTTTAGAGCAATCCAAGGGTCTTAGCCTAGCCTACGAGAAACGCAATCCCTCTTAGCCATCTAACACACTTAATACAAATAATGCAACTGCAACTGCAACTGCAACTGCAACTACTACTATTACTTTAACTACGACAACTACCAAATAGGAGCCTCGTCAACAACTAGTTCTAGTCACTTCACACTATCGACACAAGTCCAACTAGCTGCGACATTTTCATAAACTCTGACCAAGGCAAATGGCGGCACTACTTACTCTTACTAGTACTAGCGATTAGCGAGAAAGACCATCAGTGTTTCCACACTGCAGAACGAGAATGAGAATGAGAACAAGAACAAGAGCACTAATCAATTTACTTAAAAAAGACTTTCAATTTGCTTATGTCGCTGGCAGTGATCGAACCTAATCGAACGAAACGTAGAGAAACAGAAACTGGATATTAAGGCAAACACCAAAAAATGAAAAAAACAAAACAACCGAAATAACTAGAATTGATCGTAATCAAAATGTTAAACGGGCAGGTGGTACATATTTTTTGTATGACGTTGTACTATTTTTCATATAGCAAAATTCTAGCGAATGAGAGTGGAGGAGGAGCAACCTAATGATATTTATAGCCACATGCATAAATTTGTATTATATATTTGGGGTCACACAACTGTACGGGGATTTAATGAAGAAACTGCGCCAAATTTAGTCGTAATTGATAATTAATTACCGCATACATATACGAACTATGAAACAATTTAATAAATATACAAACAATAATGAATAATGTATTAAATTATACCATCAATGTTTACCGCTAGATAATGTAATTAAATTTCTTTTTAAATTTATTTCCCTTAAAGCTTTTTCATTTCCCTTTTTTAAATCGAAATTACGACGATGTCACAGTGCGTTGGTTATAGATCCGAAAAGGACCTTCAAGAAATATAACTGCAGTTAACAGACCAGGGGTCAGGGTAAGCTTGAGGCCATATATATCCATGAACGGAAGGAAATCAATATAGTGCAGGACGCAGTAGGAATAATGAATGGAATAGAAGTGCCGAACCGCAGTGAGGGTAACAATACGACATAGAGGATATCCAGATATATATATACATATATAATGACAATTACCTATAGACGATTATCTTTAATGGCAAAGGCAAATAAATCGAGTAAAGTGCTTCCGACATAGGACATAAAGAACTAGGAGTAGACAGCGTATCTGAATAGAAGAAGCGGTAGCAATTGGTTCTTTATACTTTTACTTTAACTTATCCTTTCGATCAGTTATGATTCGGCTTTTCCGTTCCATAGATGTACGATAGTTGATAGCATTCGAATCTGTATGTTTTGATGGGCAAACCGACAATTAATATGTATGTGTATTGTACAATATTAATCATTTGTTGTTTCTTATCGTGTATTTTCGAATTCAAGTAATATCTACCTACTGCATTTTACATGTATACTTATCAATGTGATTTTACCCAAAGCAAAACCCAAAAACAAATCAAAAACCAAAAAGCAAAACCAATACATACTCGAGCATCCAGAGCCCCATTTAAATGTATCCAGAGCGTAAGCCAATAAAGTATGCAATTAATCGAATAGATCGACTACCGACTACCACATACATATGTACTCGTAGTTTGTGTAGCATATGCTTGGGGTGCAGATCCACCGATCTCTCACCAGCCGTAACTCTTTTCTCACTTCAATACGCCATAAGAAAATACCCGATCGAAAGCTACGCATTTGAATATACTCACTATGAGAACATACTCGTACTCGAACTCGTTATCGTACCGCAAGGCAGCAGCGAGCTAGCAGAATGCTTAACGTTTTACCTAATCGAATAGAGCGCCTAGGGCCCTAGACTTACTGGCATCTCTCGGCAGAGCAGTGCCCCATACGTATATATGTATTCCGTGCATGTTTACCAAATGAAAACCAATAAACTACACTTTAAACCGACCCAGACTTTTCATTTTCGCATTTCCCGAAGTCGGAAAGAGCTCTTATCACTTCTGGGTAACTGGGGGACGACCGCCGTTATGCAATGCCCCAAAAAAATAGCCGGCAGATAAGGAAGCTGGCTCTGGTTCTGGTTGCGGAAGATGAGCGTAGAGCGTAGAGACACCGCTACAAAAGGCAGAGAGATAAAGTTGTTTACAGGAATCCGAGCACAAAGGCAAACAGCAATAAAGCAATAAGACAGCCCCGGCTGCAAGCTAATTAAAGTTGCGACAAAGCAGAGGCCAGTCGACAGTCGCCAGTCGCCAGTTTTCCGCCAGTTCTCGTTCTCCACGGAGTACTTCCCAGCGAATTGCACAGCTTCAAGTGTTTGCACTTTTAGGGACTCCCCACGAGACAGACAAGTAAGCAAGGCAAGGATGCTTAGCCTTTTGTTTAATACCCCTTTAATGATATTTTCCTAAAGGCATTTCGAAACTTTCATCTAGTTCTATTAAATATAAATTTCTTTAACTATAGATGTGAAAATATTAACATTGTTAATCAATCCTCGATATTCTCCAAGCTGAATATACCCCAGTTTTTGTACGATTACTCGGTATACACCAAGTCAAATATGTCCTGCAATGAGAAGACAGCGCTGCTGGCAACGCAACAAGGACATCAACAGCAGCAGCACATTATTGTCGTTCCTGCAACGCGGAAGGGTCCAAAGGATTATGATCCCATTTTCACAACTGCTGAGTAAACGCTTTCTGTCGCATTTCATTAAAAAATAACTTCGTTACACAACGTTTTCCTCCTCTTCCTCCTTCTCTCCTTGTTAGATACTCCTACGGCTTGACGCTGGATGAACTGCTGCCCTTCGCCCTGGATCCCTGGTGGCAGAATGTGCGGCGCCTCTGCTGCGGGGGCCTGGGGCTCGCCTTTATCATGACCCTGATTGCCGCCCTGGCTCTGGCGTATTCCGACAGTGTCTGTCCGCAGAATAGAGCAATTAGCGGAAATATCCCGACCACGACAACACTATCCACGCCGCTGGCTCTGGCCTCCTACGGCAGTCGCTGAAATGGCTTTTAGAAAAATAGCTTTAAGAGACAGAAATTGAATGACGTGCTACGCCTGCGCGGACGCTAGACAATGATAGAAACAAAACAAAGGCAAATAAATTATTATTAAATATAATTCCGGACAATACTTTATAATTGATTTTTAAAAATATTAGCCCAACAATATTTGTATATTTATACCCTTGCAGGGTATTATAATTTCAGTCAGAAGTTTGCAACGCAGTGAAGGAGGCACCTCCGACTATATAAAGTATATATATTCTTGATCAGGATCAACAGCCGAGTCGATCTAACCATGTCCGTCTGTCCGTCTGTCCGTCTGTCCGTTTCTACGCAAACTAGTCTCTCAGTTTTGAAGATATCTGAATGAAACTTTGCAGTTAGTCTTCTATATACTCTCACTCGTATATATGTCGGAACGGGCCGGATCGGACGACTATATCATATAGCTGTCATAGGAATGATCGGAAAAGTTTTACAAAAAAAATTATAAAATGTTTAGTTTTCAACAGAATTTGATCAAATTTGAGATATAGCCATTTCATATTATTCTACAATTTTGTGTAAAATTTTATGAAAATCGGACGGCTATATCATATAGCTCCCATAGGAACGATCGAGAAATTAATTCAATTAATAAGTATAACATTTTCAGTTTTCAACAGATTTTCATCAAATTTGAGATATAGCCGTTTCATATTATTCTACAATTTTGTGTAAAATTTTATGAAAATCGGACTAATATATCATATAGCTCCCATAGGAACGATCGAGAAATTTGAGAGGAATGAGAATGGCGGTGGCTGTTGTCGGAAGACTGACAATCGCGGTGGCGATAACATTTTTAGTTTTCAACAGAATTTAATCAAATTTGAAATATAGCCATTTCATATTATTCTAAAATTTTGTGTAAAATTTTATGAAAATCGGATTACTATATCATATAGGTGCCATACAAACGATCGTTTGATGTAGAGGAAAAATGCAAATCTGTGAATGTAAAACTGCAAATATAATATGTATAGGTGAATGAAATGAAAGCAGGTATTACTTCATTGTTTTTTAACACAAATATATCTAATTTATATTGTGTGAATTCCTATTCATAGAAGTTCTATCTGCAAGGGTATATAAACTTCGGCGTGCCGAAGTTAGCTTCCTTTCTTGTTTTATACTGTTGCAAGGTAGTATAATTTCAGTTAGAAGCTTCCAAAGAAGTGAAGGAGTCATTTCCGACCCTATAAACCATATATATTCTTGATCAGCATCAACAGCCCAGTCGTTCTAGCCATGTCCGGTCAAGAAATACATTTTTGACATTTTTCCGAAAATTGAAAATTTTATAAGGGGTTACATCATTAAAATTGACAAAATTTGACAACAAATTGAATTTTTTAATTTGAAAACTGAGTATGCAGCATTGTTAATCTACTAAAAACTAGCATAGAACAGCTTTCCGAATTCAAATTAATGATTTATTGAAAATTTTATAAGGGGTTACATCATTAAAATTGACAAAATTTGACAACAAATTGAATTTTTTAATTTGAAAACTGAGTATGCAGCATTGTTAATCTACTAAAAACTAGCATAGAACAGCTTTCCGAATTCAAATTAATGATTTATTGGCTTAGCTATGAGTTTTTTTAACTATGATTTTTGGGAAAATTTGCCTGTTTTTATACCTTTTGCAGGTTATTATAATTTTAGTCAGAAACTTATAACAGCATCAACAATCGCAGTATGCAGATTTGTTAGTGCTATAAAAACTTGCACAGAAAAGCTTTCCGAATCAAAATTAATGCTATTTTGGCATAAATATGATGTTCGGAAAACTCCGATTATTTAAGAAAATTGTCTGTTTTTATACCTTTTTGCTGAGTATAGCTTCAGTCAGAAGATTAAAACGCAGTGAATGAGTCATTTCCGACCATATAAACCATATATATTCTTGATCAGCATCAACAGCCCAGTCGTTCTAGCCATGTCCGGTCTAGAAATAAATTTTTGACCTTTTTCCGAAAATTGCAAATTTTGTAAGGGGTTACATCATTAAAATTGACAAAATTTGACAACAAATTGAATTTTTTAAATTTGAAAACTGAGTATGCAGCATTGTTAATCTACTAAAAACTAGCATAGAACAGCTTTCCGAATTCAAATTAATGATTTATTGGCTTAGTTATGAGTTTTTTTTAACTATGATTTTTGGGACAATTTGCCTGTTTTTATACCTTTTTGCAGGTTATTATAATTTTAGTCAGAAACTTATAACAGCATCAACAATTGCAGTATGCAGATTTGTTAGTGCTATAAAAACTTGCACAGAAAAGCTTTCCGAATCAAAATTAATGCTATTTTGGCATAAATATGATGTTCGGAAAACTCCGATTATTTAAGAAAATTGTCTGTTTTTATACCTTTTTGCTGAGTATAGCTTCAGTCAGAAGATTAAAACGCAGTAAAGGAGTCATTTCCGACCCTATAAACCATATATATTCTTGATCAGCATCAACAGCCCAGTCGTTCTAGCCATGACCGGTCAAGAAATAAATTTTTGACCTTTTTCCGAAAATTGCAAATTTTGTAAGGGGTTACATCATTAAAATTGACAAAATTTGACAACAAATTGAATTTTTTAAATTTGAAAACTGAGTATGCAGCATTGTTAATCTACTAAAAACTAGCATAGAACAGCTTTCCGAATTCAAATTAATGATTTATTGGCTTAGTATGAGTTTTTTTAACTATGATTTTTGGGAAAATTTGCCTGTTTTTATACCTTTTTGCAGGTTATTATAATTTTAGTCAGAAACTTATAACAGCATCAACAATGCAGTATGCAGATTTGTTAGTGATATAAAAACTTGCACAGAAAAGCTTTCCGAATCAAAATTAATGCTATTTTGGCATAAATATGATGTTCGGAAACTCCGATTATTTAAGAAAATTGTCTGTTTTTATACCTTTTTGCCAAGTATAGCTTCAGTCAGAAGATTAAAACGCAGTGAATGAGTCATTTCCGACCCTATAAACCATTATATTCTTGATCAGCATCAACAGCCCAGTCGTTCTAGCCATGTCCGGTCAAGAAATAAATTTTTGACCTTTATCCGAAAATTGCAAATTTTATAAGGGGTTACATCATTAAAATTGACAAAATTTGACAACAAATTGAATTTTTTAAATTTGAAAACAGAGTATGCAGCATTGTTAATCTACTAAAAACTAGCATAGAACAGCTTTCCGAATTAAAATTAATGATTTATTGGCTTAGTTATGAGTTTTTTTAAACTATGATTTTTAGGAAAATTGCCTGTTTTTATACCTTTTTGCAGGTTATTATAATTTTAGTCAGAAACTTATAACAGCATCAACAATCGCAGTATGCAGATTTGTTAGTGCTATAAAAACTTGCACAGAAAAGCTTTCCGAATCAAAATAATGCTATTTTGGCATAAATATGATGTTCGGAAAACTCCGATTATTTAAGAAAATTGTCTGTTTTTATACCTTTTTGCTGAGTATAGCTTCAGTCAGAAGATTAAAACGCAGTGAATGAGTCATTTCCGACCATATAAACCATATATATTCTTGATCAGCATCAACAGCCCAGTCGTTCTAGCCATGTCCGGTCAGAAATAAATTTTTGACCTTTTTCCGAAAATTGAAAATTTATATAAGGGTTACATCATTAAAATTGACAAAATTTGACAACAAATTGAATTTTTTAAATTTGAAAACTGAGTATGCAGCATTGTTAATCTACTAAAAACTAGCATAGAACAGCTTTCCGAATTAAAATTAATGATTTATTGGCTTAGTTATGAGTTTTTTTTAACTATGATTTTTGGGAAAATTTGCCTGTTTTTATACCTTTTTGCAGGTTATTATAATTTTAGTCAGAAACTTATAACAGCATCAACAATCGCAGTATGCAGATTTGTTAGTGCTATAAAAACTTGCACAGAAAAGCTTTCCGAATCAAAATTAATGCTATTTTGGCATAAATATGATGTTCGGAAAACTCCGATTATTTAAGAAAATTGTCTGTTTTTATACCTTTTTGCTGAGTATAGCTTCAGTCAGAAGATTAAAACGCAGTAAAGGAGTCATTTCCGACCCTATAAACCATATATATTCTTGATCAGCATCAACAGCCCAGTCGTTCTAGCCATGTCCGGTCTAGAAATAAATTTTTGACATTTTTCCGAAAATTGAAAATTTTATAAGGGGTTACATCATTAAAATTGACAAAATTTGACAACAAATTGAATTTTTTAAATTTGAAAACTGAGTATGCAGCATTGTTAATCTACTAAAAACTAGCATAGAACAGCTTTCCGAATTCAAATTAATGATTTATTGGCTTAGTTATGAGTTTTTTTAACTATGATTTTTGGGAAAATTTGCCTGTTTTTATACCTTTTTGCAGGTTATTATAATTTTAGTCAGAAACTTATAACAGCATCAACAATCGCAGTATGCAGATTTGTTAGTGCTATAAAAACTTGCACAGAAAAGCTTTCCGAATCAAAATTAATGCTATTTTGGCATAAATATGATGTTCGGAAAACTCCGATTATTTAAGAAAATTGTCTGTTTTTATACCTTTTTGCTGAGTATAGCTTCAGTCAGAAGATTAAAACGCAGTAAAGGAGTCATTTCCGACCCTATAAACCATATATATTCTTGATCAGCATCAACAGCCCAGTCGTTCTAGCCATGTCCGGTCTAGAAATAAATTTTTGACATTTTTCCGAAAATTGAAAATTTTATAAGGGGTTACATCATTAAAATTGACAAAATTTGACAACAAATTGAATTTTTTAAATTTGAAAACTGAGTATGCAGCATTGTTAATCTACTAAAAACTAGCATAGAACAGCTTTCCGAATTAAAATTAATGATTTATTGGCTTAGTTATGAGTTTTTTTAACTATGATTTTTGGGAAAATTTGCCTGTTTTTATACCTTTTTGCAGGTTATTATAATTTTAGTCAGAAACTTATAACAGCATCAACAATCGCAGTATGCAGATTTGTTAGTGCTATAAAAACTTGCACAGAAAAGCTTTCCGAATCAAAATTAATGCTATTTTGGCATAAATATGA